ATGGGCCTTAAATATACAATTTCTTTGTTTCTGTTACAACAAAATTAAAAGTGTTATAAAAATAAACAAAAAAGGAACTTGCAAATAATCCAAAGAATTTGAATAACAAAAACCACCATACGAAAACTTTTTTGCCTGTCGTTATATGATTGTATTAGAGAGGTTTACTTTCCATAGCTACGAACTAGTAAACCAACCCTAGGCAGGTTATGCATTTTAAACCCAGGCGGTGTACGTACTCTAACCTTACCAAAACTTCATAGCCACCGCCAAGCTGGAGGTAGTTCCTGGATGATTCGCGTCCGACCGTTTGCGACACTCACTGCAAATATGTTTTGTCACCGACATAGTGTCAAAACAACTCACATTTAGCGGATAAATGACAATAAATCGCCCCGTTAAAAGAGGATGTAGCCAAACATAAATTGGTTTGCTGATTGTGAGGACTTATTCACAGTAGAGTTATAAATGGTCAAAAAATAAAATATTGGAAACAGTATTGCAATTTTCGATGAAAGCAACTGCAAAATGAAATTCGCCGTGTGCAGAAAGACCATAAAGCCACATCCACGCCGAAGCTATTCATGTTTTTTTTGAAATCCACTAGTTTTACCATTCACTTCAAATGAGTTTGGCCGCCAACGTAGTCTTAAGACAGAATAAGCTTTGATTAATCACCTTTTTAATTGAGAGGAAGAGCATAAACAACCTTGCATTCATGAATTGTATATGAAGGATTGTGTACAGCAAAGTAAAAAGCATGATACCAAATATTCAGAATCGTATTGCGGTTCCCAGTTGGCGAAAAGAATTCGCTTAAATAAAGAAGAACATTTAAGTGCTGGTGAAGGCGCCTGAGGTAGAAAATCACTTGCAAAGTCAATGCACCCAAGTGAAGTATCAAAAGCCATTTACATCCTCACTGCTTCGTGCATTTCAGAGACAAATCTGAAGAACTAGACCCCATAAAACGGTAAACCACGGAGTGTTTTTGTACGAGTGCTCGATCAAGATTCCTTCTGAGGTACTGGGGCTACATGGGGTGATAGCATATCGCCATCTAGTACGTCCTCGCTTCTAATCTTCCAAGCATTCGCCCCTCGATGCATTGAACTTAAGCGTGTCTTGCCTGTCAAGGATGGGATCATTAGTCCGGAAGAACCTGCATAAGTAATACCAGCATATATACTGAAAAAAAATGCAAGAAGACACAGTATAACCCGCGTAGCGCTTACTTATATACTGACAACTGCAAGTGGACACGACGGGCTATGGGTAAGGGGGAGTTGTTGAATTCTAGCGCCCTCCAAAGAAGACTTGAGATGAAAGTATATTCTCACAGCTGCAGCTTATATTCGGATGGACAAAACAGAATCAAGAGGACCAGTGCCACTTATGGGTAAAGAAAGATAGAGATAGGAATAAAGAGAATCATTCAGAATCAGCAGTAGCACCACCGATGAGCCGCCCTCTTCTGCGTCTGAACCCTTAAGGAACAAACGTATGACAGCGATAAGTGTACAAAATAATTTGGAATGGAGACAAAAAGCAGAAGGCGGAAGCAGAAAGGAAATTAGAGAAAAAGGAAGGTCTAGGAGGGGGGGGAGAGAATGTCGTAAACGTTGACTTCTGTCCTTCGCCCTACCCTGACTTATATGGCCTCCAGAAAAACTTCGCAGCGCCTAAACATTTCGCTTGTGTTGACCACAAAAGGATAATTCTGCAACAGCTGTTCACGCCTGTTAAAGAGGCATAAACGTCTAGTAGGCCGATGTCACCTTACACAGCAAAACTTGGGTCGCAAGGAGCCTTAATATAGTATGGCGAATAGTATGTAGGAATAGCGCTGTAGAACAAATGTGTAGTGGCGTTGCAAGCTGAGGTCGTGCTTGTAACTTCCTGCACTGACACTTAACATTTACGGAAGCGTTTTTTGTTCCGAATTAAACGGTATTCACGTTCTTAAACATTTAAACATTATATCGCAAGAATTCCAATGGACGGAAAATACTCAGAAGTATGTTCGCCACCAACGAAGTGTTTCCCAGTAAGGCGCCTCCTGACTTGATCAGGATTAGGTATAGCAGGCGCCAGAATTCGTTTATCATACCGAAATATGCGAAAGACTGATAGTCTGTCGCTAAATGGCATTGACTCAGGTTGTGATACTGATTATCTTGTACACTATTCTGAAGTTATTTCAGTCATGATAGGATGCGGACTTTTTAAGGAGCTTTGTTCTGACCACAGACAAATCGTATGTACTGTAAAAAGTAACTATTTAAATACTTATTGTGTTTATCATTCATTTTGACTGCCTTTATAAACTCAAATATATGTTATGAAAACATACACGAAAAAAATCATTTCTTGTACTCACTTGGTAGCAAATTACGGCTTCTTTAACGTTTATGCTTAAAGGATATCCTTCGGTTTTATAAAAATGTCTAATTATGAGCTTTTTTACGATTGTGAGGTTCTTCCTATTCCTCAATTTATTAACGTAGCCTATACTGTATAAAGCATGCTCCACATCTATTGCAATATTTTATAAGGACTATGTGACTTCTTCCTTAAATTGTAGGTGAAAGCGTACTATTCCTTATGCAGTTTGTAAACCTTGAATTCCAGTGTAACAGTCAGTAGGTTTCAAAAGTATTCGACAATTTAGAAACTTTTTTAAAACCGAGAGATTCCCTTTCTTTAAGTTTAATATTTAAAGAAGGCGTAATTTTCTACCAATTAGGTACAAAAAATAATCTTTTGTGCATGCTTTCCATAAAAGATATTTGAATTTATAAAGGCACTCACAGTCAATGATAAAAAAGCTCACAACGTAAGTAGTTACTTTTTACGGTAAATGCGTTTTCCTACTGGTCAGAACGAAGCTCGTTAAAAAGCCCGCATCCTTTTGTGACTCAAAAAACTTCAGAATAGACTCAAAGATAATCAGTATCACAACCTGAGTCAATGCCGATTAGCGAAAGGGTATCAAT